TATACTGTCTACATTGTTTTTCTCAATTTTGTCCCTTACTTTTGGACGATCCTATTTTGAAAATAAATAAATAATTGTTATAATTCTTTTTCTATCCTTTGCAAATGATTCAAATTTTAGTATGTTATTATGGATGATAACGACTACCAGTTGTCAAAATTTCAGCTTTTCACAGTTGTTAATTCTAACAAATATAAAGTTTTAAAATTTTGTCCCTTAGTTTTGGACAAATGTATATATATATATATATATATATATATAATATATAATTATATAATTATTTGGATGATTTTGGCTCTCGTTTTTGAAACATGCGAACTCTTATGTAGCGAGGGAATCATATTTTTAAACAAAAAATATTATAATATAAGCTCTACTTCTGTATGGAGCACTGTCTTCTTAAAAATAAAATCAAAAATACTAAGAAACCCCGGATTATGCACCCAACGTGTTCTTTCCTATTTTCTGCATACCTGCGCACTTATATATATATATATATATATATATATATATATATATATATATATATATATATATACACACTAGGTATCGCTCCAAACACCATGATGTTGATAGGATTTTTGCTTTTGATAACCCTCGGTACATTTTGAGGAGGCACAGCAAGATAGTGGTTCTTCTGTGTGTTCACCATTTTATCCTGGCAGTAATTTTTTTTTCGTCTTAGAAAAACGAAATCATGTTCGGTTGGAGGATGCTTGAGTTTGTTCAAAAGCTTCGTAGAGTTGTTATTCCTCTTGTCCTTCATGGCTTTTGATAAAAATTGGTCCTTTCTCATCTTGTATGGCAATTCCCGAATGTCTTCAAGCACTACCTGCCTGATAAAAAAAAAAAAAAAAAAAAAACTCCTACACTACTGTATCCCTTCCTATGGACCTGACTGAATTCGTGGTCAATCCTGTCCTGGATTTCATCAACAAATTCGGGAGCTCTTTTCTCATCAAAATGATCAGAGTGAGTTCTCCGAGGTGCCCTAGATACGTAATCCTCATTAAGCTCATCTACCTCTTTCTGAATCCTCTGCACTGTCCTCAGATTGGCACTAAAACCCATTAAAATGTTTGTATTGGTGTATCCGGTGCGAATGCTAAGCAGTACAGCATGCCATTTCCAGATTTCTCGCGGAGTGAATTGCGTCATGGTGCTCTTTTTCTTACAGATGGTGTCTAACTGACCCTACTATAATATGCAGTTGACAAAATCTAAAACAATGAACGTGATAATATTGAACGACCTCAAGTGATGTGGTCTTTATTATTTAGTAAACTTATTTATGAATGTGTAGCGCCAGTCCTTTTCTATTCAAAGAAGAGATGCCTTCGCTAAAATATTCAGTTTCATTCGCTCGAAGCCATTTTTAATCGTTGATTTGAGAAAGTGATTGCATATAGGTGACAGTTTAGATATATCTGAACTGCCTTGACACCATGTATGACATCCATATGAATCTCCTGAACTGATGCTATTTAAGATGATGACTCTAGACTTACATTAATGTTTTGATTATGTCTTCATTTACAGTGTTGGGTGAAACTCTACCTAACTTAAGTGCTATTTCCTTATCTCCTATAGTATATTTTTTTAATAACTAACCCATATACAGGTATTTAAAGTGTTTAGTATTTAATAACTCTACACGCTGAATCTTTTTTTATGTTTTCAGCATAGGTGCCCTCGCTGCTTTCATTCCATTTCTTAATCATAGTTTGTTTTGGAAAGATTTATCCAAAGTACTATTTTTTCAAACTTGGTTGATTTCCTGTTTAAAATCATACTTATCCCAACTATGGATCGGTGGTAGCAGTTAATACTGACCAGGTAAACTTTACTTTCACAGAGCCATTCCGAGAATCAGTTTGGTAAATTTCCTGGCATTTTTCTCATTATCAAATCTGTTTGAATCTGCTGCACTGTTTACCAATTCATGGATCTCAGATTGCAGTCTGCCCACATTTGCTCTTTTAGATTTTGGCTGTTCACTTCTTGCCATATTGTGCAACCCTTCGCTCATTTACTCTTGTGCCAATCAAGAGCAAAAATTCTTTTCATATTATATCGACCGTAAGCCAAATTAATAGGGCGAAATTTTGACCAGGACATTTCTAATCTTCAAATAAAACTTGAATTTAATTCGCTGAATTGGATCTTTTCAGTCATCTTTAGCCAATATAAACTGGGACTACTTCCTCTACTGCTCGACATCGAATGATTCAGCTCAACTGTATCTCAAGGTATCCTCGGGTATAAATTTTTAATTCACTAATTACCCAACTGAGACGTTGCAATCATTCTGGAAATGAAAATGTCACAACACGTATATTAGTGGCTGTTTTACTTTTTCATTTTTATTGATATGTCCCTTCAAGACATAGGTGGCCAGGGTTCTTCAGTGGTTACTTTTCTTTCTTACCTATGAATGACTACTTGGGAAATATAGTGAAGTGGTTTCCCGTTGTCTTTTCTACAGTTTGAAATTGATTCATTGATTGATTTTGTTTCTAAGGATTATGAACACTTTGTAAGTTATTTAGAGCCAGAAAATACCTTAAGATTGTAAAAAATATATTTGAAATAACAATGATTTAGTGATAGAATTCTTACTAATTAAACTTTAACTGGGGAAATAAACGGTGGATTCATATATTTTCTGAGGTTTTGTAAACTTTTGAAATACAAAGTCTTATTTCATTTCTTTAAAGTTATTCCATAGATGAGTTATGGACTGGAGATATCAGAATCAAAGAACAGAAATTTAAGTATGGAATAGCCCCGGAACAAACGATTGAAAATGCGACTCAGATATCCGAAGGTGTATTGGAATAGTGAAAAATGCCTTCCTGAGATTAAAAAATTATATATTACGAGATAGGAATTTTCGTTAGAAATTATGAAAAGAATGCAGAAATATAATGTCATACATATTAGCCTATATGACATTGAATGCTGGAGAATTTCGTCATAGACGAAGATGAGACGTGAAGCAAAGATGTAGATCTTCACAAGGATGCTATGAACACCATAGAAAAAAAATATGATAACAACGTAGAAGTTTTATAAAATCAGAAAATACCTGAAAAGACAGGTGCATTTACAATCGGAAGAACTATATCTGGGAAATATAATCAGGAATAATGGCTTGGAGACATATTGAAGTCAAGAGGAACAGAATGAAACAACAAATGTTTATTTAAGTGGGTGGCAGAAAGGATGAGGATGTATGGTAAGGTGACAAAAGATTTTAAGAACGAAAGCGTACAGAAAACTATGTCATTTTACTAAAGTTAAATTTATACAAGGCCCAAGATTCATTCGTGTTAGTGGAACACGCAAGCGGTGCGTGATATGAATACAAAAGGAGGTGAAAAGAAAAGAAGATTATTAGGATGAGGTGGATAAATAACAATTAAACCTTAATGTGAATGGGTTACATTTAAAGTACTCAGCGAATAGTTCACTTTTGAATATGTTCCACGAACGAGCAGTACTTAGGAAACAGCTCTTGAAGTAGAAAAGAAGGAAAGGCGGCGGCTCATTTGATCAGAATTTGGCAAAAGGTGGTTGAAACTTGTGCGCTTGTGTCGTGTGAAAGGGACTGACCTGGAGTGGTATTTTGATGCCGGTTAGGCATCAGAATATTGCTCTGCCTGGGTTGAACTTGTACAACCCATCCCGAAATTAGGCTAGGTTAGGTTTAGATTTGATGCTTTAGTTTCATTGTCTTTCAATTAACTTAGCTAAGGTATGTATGCTCATTGGCCCCCTTTTATTGGTGTCCCTATTTTTCTTTAAGTTTAATTCCCCGTTAGGTGATTAGTGGTGTCAGTTCGCTGGTGGATGCGGGGCGCCTTTCGTTTTCGTATTTGTTCTTGTGTTTGAATGAGTGCGTCTTAGTGTGAGTGCTTGAGATGAATGAATGTTTTATACTATTATAGTCGCGTATTGTTTTCGCCCAGTTAACTGATGTTTCTGCCACATTTAGTTATTGTGGGGTTTTTATTACTAATATTATTTTCTTTAGTTTCTTGTAAATAGTTTTATTTTCATATTGTAAATATTCATTGGGGCTAGTTTTTTAGAATCGTTATTTTATTCCCCTCCCCCCACAGACAATGAATTATACATATGGGGACTAGTTAGTATTTTCCTAGAGACAGTGAGGTATTATGGGGGGATGTAGTAAGAAAGGTACATAAGAATGTGTTGTTTTGGTGTAAGGAATATTGTTTGTACGATTGGGTCAGTGTTTGTGGCTAACTAAGTTATCATTAAGAAGAAGACCGTCCTTTCCCCGATCTCCTTTTGGCCTTGTGCCACATTACTGTGTACAGAATAGAATAAATATTGCTCTTGTATTAGAACATCTTAAATACGGGAGAAATATATGCTATTCGAAGCCTTGGACCTAGCATGACAAGTTCTAATCTATACAGGGTGCGAAGGGTAAATTGTCGCCATTTTCTGGATTTTTTTAAAAAAATTTTGAGAAACAATGGGCAGCATATCTCTTTCGGAGAGAAAATAATGACACAATTAACATTTCAACGTTGAACACTATATTATACAAAAAGATTAAGAAGGAAAACCTCATAATTACTAGAAAGAGATATAATGGGATGAGATCGTTGTTTTGTTGATATGTTATATGTATTAATAGTTTATAGAGGATTCCTTTTCTCCTTCCTATACAAAAAATGAAATGAACAAAACGTACAGCAATAACAAACAACATTGAGTCTTTGAGACACGTGTTGAAATTAATGAAAAGAATATATATTTTTCTTTTCGTGATGTCAATTAGAATATTGGTATTGTCTGTGTTAAAAATTTCCCAGTGTTATTGCCTCTTTTCTTTCTTTAAATGTTTGTGTTTACTTGTTTTTGCATGTTGCGAGAATTTCGTTGTTAAAGTAGCGTTTGAGACACATGGCATAATTAAAGTGTGAAAGATTGTTACGCGCCAGTCGGTTGGAAATTATTGGTTTATGTCTATTTGTCTGTATTCTTCAACACAGCTTTCGTCTGAACTCCAACACTTCTTGCTGGCGCCAGAGAAAGTAAGTATACTATCTGAGAGGAATTCTTGTATCTTGTGACTGACAGAAGATGTGTGTTAAACAATCATTTCGCTAAGGTTTTTTTTTTCATTTGCTCGTTGAAGTTGAGAAATGACGTAAAATGCCTCAATGTCTATCTTCAAATACATTCAAGTGGGAACTATGTTAAAATCATAATACAAGGGCGAAAAGGTCGGCAAAATTGCTTACGTTGCATTTGTCGCCATTTTACGTGATAAAAATATGAGAGTTAACCTTACTAATAATAATAGCAAAAATAGGATAAGTGAAAAGAAATAGCTGATAAATATACGATAAAGTACAAAAAAAGTAAATGGTTCTTTTTGGGGGTCAAGAAGATTCAGATCTCCTCAATACCTTAGTGATTTCTTCTTTCTTCTTTATGAATTTAGATATTTTAATATAAACAGAACTCTAAAAAAGGTCACCTGGCATTTAGTGTCCTGGGTAAATACAGAAGTAAATTACATAAGGCAGAAAAGCCTCTGATCTAGAGGTTTTAAAGAGACTAAAACTAACTCTTAATTGCTATTGTTAGCCGGTTCAACTTGACCCGAGGTGGTACCACCTGTTAGGGTCCCAGCTATGGGCAAATAATTACCGCTCAAACTGGGGTCAAAACACTATCAAAGTATAAAACATACATTTTCATAGTAAAAAATCCCAGCAATATATTTTCATTGTAAAAAATTGCCACGGATGCATTTTTGTAAAATATATTACTAATGCTTTCATGTAAATTAAATTCCGGAATTCAATGACCCATAAGGAGTTGATGTGCCTCTGAATAAAAAAATATTGACTAAAATTTAATGTCTGAATTCCCTCCAATTACTTGACTTGAAGTCTCTTTTTTTTTACAATGACGTTTACCCTGTACAAGGCTCAATAGCCACTCAATATAGAGTGTTGCAGATTATACTGATGGGGCGTTCATCCCCTTGGGAATCAGTTCCATAAGTTAGTGGTTCGTGGGAAAAAGATGCTCGAGTGGGACTTACATCTCACCAAAGGAATATGAAAGAAACGTGCGGGGTTCGCTACAATGTGCTTGGCATGGCGGATCTTTGCTCTGAAGGTTAGAATTGGAGATACTAAGGAGGGTAATTATCTGAACACTTTCCATGGAAATAGCGACAGAACAGCTAGAGGTTTGCAATGTTTTGTCAGTTAGAAAGAGGTTATAAAGTGGAAAATAATTCGTCACCCACAACACGTTTTTGGGTCTACAAGTTTCTGGGTAATTAAATGTTTTATAACTATTTCTATTCCAGGGTTGCATACAATAAAGATATGCTTATTGCGTGTGGCTGTAAGATAGTGATCAGTAACATATCCTATTCATTCTTGATGGGGATTTAATATATAAAAATCTTTGTGTGTATAGATACAATGTAAACCCTAAATCGTAGGGCACTGTTCAAAAAGGAGCTGGCAAATGAGAACGTGTTAAAATGCGTTTTTATTTAACCGCCCATTTTTTTATTTCGTAGCGCCATATTTTCCAAGGTATTTCTGAATGTTTTAGATGATGATATCAGTGATGAGATTTTTGCTATGAAAGAAAGAAGCAAGCCCATTTTTCTCTTGTGTGCGTCATATGTTTCTGGTCTGCGTGTCAATCATGAAATGCTTTCTGTACAATATATCATTACTCAATATCACCTTTCCGCAAGATAGCCGCTTTGTGATTACGTTTAAGGTGTGGGGTAGCTAGATGGTGTTGTCAAAACGAAGAATAAAAGAAAAGAGAATAAACCCTTTATGTTTTTCTCTCTTCACTCGCTCTTTACAAAGGATGCTGTGTTGACCAAGGATGTCACCTTAACCATTAACTCACCAGTGATCATGTTTTCGGATCACTGAGTTTTAATCCCCATATTAGAAATAAGTCACGTCTTTTTTGACTAAATTTTTGTGAGGAAGAGTTATCAGGTTATATACTAATTATATTCGGACAATTATCTTCATCTTTGTTGTTATTACCACAATGTTTCGACCGCTGTACCCTCTACATATCGATCTAGGTAACTTACAGGTAATTCTGCTCTGAACTCTTTATTTAATCTATGGGGTAGAACAGTCTAGATTAGGACAATAGTCTGAATATAAATAGTGTATATAAGTCAAGTTCTTTTTCATACTGTATTCTGTAGGTAAAGATAGAAAGAAAAGAGAAAAAGAAGTTGTGTTCTTATTATTTTTTCCACTTTAATATAACCTCATCTGGTGGTCGCTGTAAGAAGGTCCTTGACAGAGAAGTTGCAGATTCCACGACTGTATAAATGGATTATGTTCTACGACTGAGACTGTTTAATGATAAATTTTAGTTAATCTCCTTCAGAGTCTGTTGAAAAAAAGACGCTATCCATTCTTGACGTCATTTTATAATAACTAGATATAAATAATAATTAGAAGTAATTATACAGCTTCCAGTTTCAGCTGTAATAATGGATCTGATATTATCTAATAACTTTGTTATTTGAACCAGATAACAATCACCGAATATCAAAATCAAATGACGCAGAACAGAGTAGACCATTCGCATTTGTTTCGGGGTGTACATTGCATTTGACAAGAGAATGATTCACCCACGTTGTTATCACTAAACTAATATTTCTTATCAAATTGGCTCCCCGCCTTGTCGGCATACGTTGCCAAAACACCCCCAAAATGATTCATCTAGTATTTCAACGGCGTTTTTGGATTTAAGATAAAGCTTCCTGTATGCCAAGCGGCCCATTATCAAATAATGGTCAAGATATACAGACTTATTCGGTATGTTCTGTATTTGTTATTAAAGCTCGTTTACGTTTACTTTTTATTCTTGACTTGCGAAAGGCATTCTTAATGGTGGTATTAACGGCCCGGTGTTGCCATTTGTGTGATCTCTCCTCGCCGTTTCCTATACAGGTTCTTGACGCTCACTAAGTGCGCTCATTATCAGCCAGCCGTTAGTATAACAACATAAAACTTCACCAAGAATTCGTTTTTGCTACTTTTTCACCTAATAGAAGACCAAAGAGCCACACAATGAAGAGTGATATTGATGATGTTTGATTATGTATGTAAGAGTAAGTTAAGTATTTCAGAGTATAAGAACATGTTGGATTGATAACGATTGCTTCGATTTCTGAGTGTTTAAGTAATACTGACAAGAATAAACTTTTTTTTTGTTACATAGCTTTATTTACACTACAGATAAAAATTGTTTGAACAATTAAATGTCTTCTATTTAAGGAGCGGCTTTTTGATTGATATATATTTACAGCTCATCTACCGTTTGCAGGTTATTAAAATTCAGATATATTTTTAGACTGTAAGAATTTTTAGTAGATAATAATAATTTTTACTGATAGAAGTTCTACTAATTAAACCGTAGCTGGGAGAGAAGACATACACCAGTCGCCCGCCAATGCTTACAGTACCTATTATTCCTAATCGGTCACCCATCCAAGTACTGATCAGTTTCTACGTTGTTTAACTTTGGTGATCGTACGAGAACAGGTCTTTTAACATGATATGTGCGTAAGTCGAACCACGAGGTGAAAATAAACAGTAGTGAAAGTTAGCGTCATGTGATCCTTACGGTCAATAATGAATACTCTATTTATTTGCTTTTGTTCTAAAGAGGAAATATTTTATCAAAGCAATAACTAAAAAGTTAAAAAAAAAAACAAAAAAAAAAAACTAAAAAAAAACGTTTCTTACATTGTTTCTTAACAAAATATAATTGATCAGCCCCAGATGGGTGGTGTTATGATTATAAGGTCATCTGTTATTCGCATTGGGTGAGGTCTTCCAGTAGCTCAAGAAAATTTTCTTCAAGGTCATTTCCATTCGATCGGCAAGACGTAACGTAATCTATATTGTTTAATATTCGATTTTCTTCATGCTCTTCTCAATTGAGCCCCGAGAGGAACAGGGGAGAAACAAAGCATGCGCCGAACGCTAACCCTGGCATATAGAATACATATTCATCATTCCCACGCCATAGAGATTCTAATCATCGTTTCTCACGCTTAAGACATTCTAAAACATTAATCAGGCCTAAAGCGGAAGAATAATTATAAAAGAATAATCAATTATTACTTGGCAATAGGAATAGAAAATGTGAAAATCGGAAAGCAGTAGATGTTGTGTTCAATATAACGTTTCTCACGTTATCGTTTAGTATTTTATGTGTATGCAGTTGCCAAGATAAAAGGCGTATTTTCTCTCTTTTGGAAGATGAAGTCGAACCTAGATTTCTTCCAACCATAAAATCCGGTAAAATTATGAAAAATTAAAATGAAAATCCGGTATTAATGAGAAGTCCTCTTAAAGTTTGCGGGAAATTATATTTAAAAAAAAAATCGGTATTAAATATAGATTTCTAATTACAACATAATAATTTCAGTATTTTTTCCCGACTTGCATTTGTTGTTTTTACGTTCTTCTTTATTTTAACTAATTACTCTTTTCTTCTGACTTTTGCGTCTTTTCTTCGAATTCCCTTCACTTGTTGTTCTTACCTATTTTGTTAGGTTGTTTCTCTCTTTTCTCTCTATATTAGGCTGTTCCTTTCTCCTGATATCTATCTATCTATCTATCTATATTAGGCTGTTCCTTTCTCCTGATATCTATCTATCTATATTAGGCTGTTCCTTTCTCCTGATATCTATCTATCTATATTATCTATCTTTCTCCTCTATCTATCTATCTGTTGCTTTCTCCCTATCTATCTATCTATCTGTCTATTATTAGGGCTGTTCCTTTCTCCTGATATCTATCTATCTATCTATCTGTTCCTTTCTCCTCTATCTATCTATCTATCTATCTATCTATCTATCTATCTATCTATCTATCTATCTATATTAGGCTGTTGCTTTCTCCTGATATCTATCTATCTGTATTAGGCTGTTCCTTTCTCCTGATATCTATCTATCTATCTATCTATCTATCTATCTATCTATCTATCTATCTATCTATCTATATTAGGCTGTTCCTTTCTCCTGATATCTATCTATCTATCTATCTATCTCTATCTATCTATCTATCTATCTATCTATCTATCTATCTATCTATCTATCTATCTATCTATATTAGGCTGTTCCTTTCTCCTGATATCTATGTATCTATATTAGGTTGTTCCTTTCTCCTGATATCTATCTATCTATCTATCTATCTATCTATCTATCTATCTATCTATATTAGGCTGTTCCTTTCTCCTGATATCTATCTATCTATATTAGGCTGTTCCTTTCTCCTGATATCTATCTATCTATCTATATTGGCTGTTCCTTTCTCCTGATATCTATCTATCTATCTATCTATCTATCTATCTATCTTCTAGGTTGTTGCTTTCTCCTGATATCTATCTATCTGTATTAGGCTGTTCCTTTCTCCTGATATCTATCTATCTATCTATCTACCTATCTATCTATCTATATTAGGCTGTTCCTTTCTCCTATCTATCTATATTAGGCTGTTCCTTTCTCATGATATCTATCTATCTATCTATCTATCTATCTATCTATCTATCTATATTAGGCTGTTCCTTTCTCCTGATATCTATCTATCTATCTATCTATCTATCTATCTATCTATCTATCTATATTAGGCTGTTCCTTTCTCCTGATATCTATCTTTCTATATTAGGCTGTTCCTTTCTCCTGATATCTATCTATCTATCTATATTAGGCTGTTCCTTTCTCCTGATATCTATCTATCTATCAATCTATCTATCTATCTATATTAGGCTGTTGCTTTCTCCTGATATCTATCTATCTATATTAGGCTGTTCCTTTCTCCTGATATCTATCTATCTATCTATATTAGGCTGTTCCTTTCTCCTGATATCTATCTATCTATCTATATTAGGCTGTTCCTTTCTCCTGATATCTATCTATCTATCTATCTATCTATCTATATTAGGCTGTTCCTTTCTCCTGATATTTATCTATCTATCTATCTATCTATCTAACTATGCGAAGATGTCTCTTTTTTTACATATCTAATTACCGTAGGCTGTTTCTTTTTTTATATATATATATATATATATATATATATATATATATATATATATATATATAAAAGAAATAATCATACATATAATCAATCAGCAATATCAATGATATTAACGGCAAAATCACTTCGCTAGTAGAAAATAATGTATGCATTAAAATACTGTTAATTGCATTAATATTGCTGATTGATTCTATGTCTGATTATTTCTTTATATATAAAATATAAGCTGCCTAATATGTTTATAAAAAACAATTGATCCCGCAGTATGAAATTCCTGAGAAAAAAAAAACTACTAAGACATATCACTATATTAATTGAACTATATAACTTAGTTCATGTTTTTTAACTGAAAAACACTTGTAAAAAAAGAATTCGTGGATTTACCATATTACAAAATTCATATTACATTGTTCCTTGAAATTTTGAAGTTTAGCGTTGCGACTCGCACGTTCCGAGATTGTACAACCGTCAATAAATAGCACATTCTTAAAAAACACATCTTTCGGTCTACAAACAATTATTTCGTCTTCAAGTTTTAACTTTAAGTGAAAAAATTCACAGCCTGATGATAGGGACATGGATCTTCGAAAGTACTTGCTTAACTTAAAAAAATATACACGAGAAACATCTGAGAACAGTTTCATAAATGAGGATCACATCATTCAATGGATTAATAGTATTTTAATGCATACATTATGTTCTACTAGCGAAGTGATTTCGCCATTAATCGCATTAATATTGCTGATTGATTTATATATATATATATATATATATATATATATATATATATATATATATATATATATATATATATATATATATATATATATATATATATATATATATATATATATATATATATATATATATATATATATATATATATATTTACAGGGCACAGTGGATAAAGGCGTTGGTTAGATCCAGTGACAGGACCCAAAGAGTGTGAGTTCAATACTGGTTAAGGCAGTGGAGATCTTGCAGAGGGAAATAACTGGCATCCATTAAAACATAGCACATGAAACTAGAACAGTCTACCACAGTGAGCGAAGTAAAGGTTTCAGTTCGACATTGCAACCACCTGAAGAAGGCCTGAGCGTATAACGTTCGAAACGCTGTAATAAAGACGAGGACAATAGTCCGAATAATGTAAATAATGTACATAATACCTCATCTCAGAAAAAAAAAAAATATTGCAATGGAATGTTACACTCTCCCCATCGTGGACTGACTATATTAGTAATATATGTAGTGTGCACAAGATATACCAGAGTCTGTCTATATGTCTGTCTATATCTCTGTCTATATGTCTGTCTGACTGGCTTCGGGAAGTTGGAGTTTTCCAACAGGCTGCTCTGACATTTGAATCTCTTTTGATTCCGTTCTTTGTTGGAAGCTTTTTTTTTTTTATCGCGAGTGTTTAATTTTTGTTACGTTTTATTTTTGGACGTACTCTATTTCCTTGGAACTCTTTTGTGTTTTTCTGCTGTGGTGAGACTAGTACAATGAGGGCTGGGTCTCCCCAGCAAAATGTACCAGTGCCTGCTCATCCATCGACCTCCGCATGCAGAGCAGATAGTTCCGAGAAAAAAAGGGCCAGAAAAAATATGGTATAACATCGTATAAAACACCTTTTCTACCGGTTATAATACAATGTTAATGTACCTTGTATTATAATTAAAAGTTAAAATTTAAATCAGCTTCGACATCGAATGAAAAATGTGAACATTTTAACGCCACATTTCATTTACATCCAAACATAAGTCTCTGATATTATGGTTCGTCGAACTCATCGTTAGCGCTATTTGCTTGATTACAATGTTGCTTTATCTTCTCAGGATGCTCAAAATGTTAACACATATCTTTTTATAATTATGATTTTTTATTGATAGGAAAATTCATCCACCGCATAAAATACTTTTTTAAACAATGAGAATAATGAAACTCATATAAAAATGTATAAATGTATTTCTCTTCGAAATTATGAGTATTCACAAAATTTATAAAACCAGTATGAGACCAGGGTGTTGGTTGGTTGGTTGTTTCGTTTGAAAGAATACAAACCACAGTGGGTCATTTAATGCCAACAAAATCTTCGAAATAGATTCATAGCGATAGTTTGGCAAAAAAAGGTGTGTATGTATACATATATATTTGAACCATTTTTCAATTACTCATATTTTTTAGTACAATTCAACTTCTTTTAGGAAATTTACAATCTTGGATGCTTTTATTTTCGTAATTTTTTAAAAATTACCCACTTGGTAATATTTTGTTCACTTTCCCAAAAATCTATTTCTGTTAATATTTTTTCCTTCAAAAATTTATTTTTGGTAAGTATTTTCCTTCGCTGGTAATATTTGTTTTTCAAAAAATGTATTGCTGGTAATATTTTTTAAATATATTTCTGTTATTAAAACCTATTTTTAAATTTTCATACTGTTTTGACCCGAGTTTTGGGGGTTAACTATTTGCCCAATGCTGGGACCTTAATAGATGCTACCACCCCAGGTAAGGGTGGACCTGGGAACACCAGTAAGTAAGAGGTGGTTCCACGCTCCTCAAAACCTCCTGATCAGAGGCCTAGCTTTTGGATGTAGTTTATCACCTTACCCAGGACGCGGATGTAGTTTAACGTCATAGCCAAGACAAGAGACCAGGTAGAATAATGAAACCTGTTTTAAAAAGATTTAAATGAATTACACTTACAAACGTCTGATTGATAGGCAAATTCATTAAGCTTTTAAAAATGATTTAGACTAGTTAAAATAATAGCACTCGTATCATAATTATTACAAGTTTACATTCTAAAATAATTTATAATTAAGGGTAAAACGTTTTCAAAATATTCTATCAATTCCGTGAATGAAGACATTATTTGGTTTATTCTGGCCCAATTCCCACAGCTTCGGCATCGAAAAAAAATGTCAACCTTTCAACGATAGTTTTTTTCAGTTGTGAGACTGAACACAAGCCTGATGGTGTCAAATCATGACTTGACGAATTCAGGCTTCACATCGTTTGCTTTACTATAATATAGATTTGTCCTGTCAGGATGCACAAAAATGTTCACTTTTCATATTTTATTCATCTAACAAGTTGTTTGAAATCTCACAAAGTTTCATTGAATTCAAACATTTGTGAATTTGGATTGGATACGTAGCCATCTGGTGCCAGAAATTATATCGAAGAAAACACTGTCAAAGTAGGCGTGAATAACGAACGTTGTTACGACATGGAGTCACACATAAAACTGACGGTAAGCCTAACTGGATAGACATTTATATACTTCTAAATATTTGGAAATATAGTCTTCTTAGTCTTATGTTCTTAGTCTTATGTTCTTAGTCTTTTATTTTTCTTCAGATGTTATTGAATGCCGACTTCTGGCGTACAACAAAAAGGTAGAAACAGGTTTGATTTGCACATGAGTCAAATAGGTAGACACAGTTTTGCTTTGTATGAGTGTCAAACGTCTAGACACTACATTGATTTTCACGATGCTCAAAAACGTAATCACAGCGGCATATGAATAAAAAAGACACTGTTTTGCTTTGCATAGGAAGGAACCGGCAAGATATATATTTAGTTTGCACAAGAGTCAAAGGGTTTGACACAGATTTAGTCTGAAAGATGGTCAAAAAGGTAGATATAGTCCAAGTTTACACGAAAAAAAAAACTATGTAGACTCAGCGCAGTTGATTGCCAACCAGTCTAGGAGAAGGACAACGACAATGTGCTTCCCAAGGGATAAATACGGTACAAAACATTATTTATCCCTGGGGAAGCACATACTGTCCAGCTAGTGAAAGGATCATAGAGTTGACAATCCTAGTCGGCTTTGTTTATCAGTTATATCATGTCTAAAATAATAAACAGGGAAATTTCGTTAGAAACTAAGAAAACAGTACTGAAATGTTGCGTAATAACAAACCTCTGGAGAGTGATAATTAACGTCAGAATAAAACAGATGACATTCCTAGGGCACATAATGAGGGAAAAAGGGTTGAAAAATTTGACACTCACAAGACATATTGAGGACAAAAGTGATAGAGGAAAACAGTTCATAACTTACCTAACAAGCTTGTGTAAATGTATGATAGAACAGAGAGACACCACCGTCATGGGTATGACGATCAACTACATCCGCGTCCAGGGTAAGACGATAAACTACATCCGCGTCCTGGGTAAGACGATAAACCACGTCTAATTGCAAGGCCTCTGATCAGGAGGTTTTGAGGAGCGTGGAACCACCTCTTACTTGCTGGCGTTCCTAGGTCCACCCTGACCCGAGGTGGTAGCACCTGTTAGGGTCCCAGCTATGGACAAAATATTTGACACCCAAAATTATGTGTAAAAATAGGTTTTAATACCAGAAATACTTTGTAATAAAAAAATATTACCAGCAATAATTTTTGAAGGAAAA